CAGGAAATGAAATCTGATGGTTCACCTAAGCCAGCTTAGATCCAGCTACAAATGAACAACAGAAAAAAAAAGATCCCTGCGAATGCCTGCTAGTCTAGCTACCCTGCCCCCCCAAACTAGACATTTAGAATAAAAAAAAATGACTAAGCTTGCCTGATGACCTGAAGCCATGGTGGTAAGGTCATGGGCTTGATCAACTTTAAAATCCACAGAATACAGAAGGTAGAAATAAACTCATGTAAGGTTTATGCTAAGGAGAGGACGAACGTAAGAGGCAGAGGGAAGGATAAGACCTAGGTTACTGTAAGATTGGCCCTCCCATCACTTAATCAAAGAGGAACGTGGAAAGGGGTCATGTTAGGGCTTAAAAGTTGTTCTCTGTATTCAATTAGCTTGCCTGCCCTCCTGGGCTGAAGCCTGAGTTCAAAAAAATTGCACAATAAACTACTTCCCTTTCACTCTGGAGTCTCCATGCTCTAATTATGAAGAAAGTATATTTGTTTCTCACATATAAAACACTTTTAAAAATCCCTGAGAGTGATAAGTATGTGAAGGTGATAAACATGTCAATTAGCTTGATTGAGACATTCCATGATGTACACACATCTTAAAACACTATACACTGTGCACGGTTATTTAATTTATATTTACCTGAAATTTTAAATTTATATTCGATTTTTAGTAAGGATATTTAAAAACTCTCCCAATAAAATTGACTCTGGGAAAGAATGAATTCTACCAAATATTTAAAGGAGAAATGATGCTGATCCAGCTCAATTCTTTCTAACAGAAAAGGGACAAACTCCAGACACATTCTTCAAGATTAATACTACTCAATACGAAACGTAGACAAAGATACTACAAGAAAACTGAAAAGAGAAACTATTCTTTTTTTTCTTGAATCTTTAAAAATGTTTATTATTATTATTATTATTATTATTATTATTATTATTATTATTAAGTTTTACAGGCAGATGGCAGCTTCCCATCCCTCAACTCCTCCCAGTGTATCCCACCAACCTTCCCCACCATCCACTCCTCTGTTTCTATTCAGAAAATGTCAGATGTCCCAGATTTATCATCTTAGCCGTATAGATTTAAAAACAAAGTCTTCGAGAGTATGGATGGCCTCCATTCAATAGCACACTACACAGAAATCCTGTGATTAAGAAGAGACTTCTGAGGAATGCAGGGGGGGGGTAATTGATGCAACATATTTTGTAGAGGATAAGGGTAGAAACACAAGATCATCCCATAAGACACAGACACAAAACCCCACACTCAACAAAAGTCAGTAGCTCTCTATATAAAATGCACTCAGTGAGCGGGGCATGGAGTGAACTGCCCCCACAAGATGAAACTCTCAGCTTGTAGGAAAAGGCAGCTAAGCCACCCTAATGGTGAAAGGCAGAGACTGCCCCCAAAGATCAGGGATAAGATAAGGATCCCAGCTCTCAACACGACCATTCTACCATTCTGCATTGTACCGGAAGCCCTGGCCAAAATTATTAGGCAAGAAAAGAGAAGTTAAAGGCATCCAAATTGGAAAGGAACAGACAAAATGACTTCTGTCTGTAGATGGTTTGTTTCTACACATGGAAACCATCAAAGCCTAAATCCAAAAAGAACTGCCAGGGTTTGCAAATGCAGTCCGGTCACTGGGCCCTAGTCAGCTCATTAAAGACGTTTCTAAACAGCAGCAATAAAAGAACGAGAAGGAGAAATAAAGGAAATAATTCCAGGAAGGTGGGCACCAAGTCTCACCCCCAGCTGAGGAGCTATTGGCATTGGATTGCTGCTGGGGGAGAGAGAGTTGTTGTTGGATGTGAGAAGAGCTGAGAATGATGTGAGTCCTGGGACACCAACCCCACTCCAGAGCAGGCCCATACCCAGAAGTAGTGGCCTAACAGACTGGACTCAGGAGGGGACAGAGAGAGGGAGTGGGGTGGGGGTAGGGGGACCTGAAAGGAAGAACTGGGGGAGAGGTGAATGTGACTAAAAAAAGTTACAAAAGGAAACAATTGCACCTACAGTAGCACCAGGCTACTTATGAATGAATCCCATCAACGATGTCAAAGCCTTATACATTGAAAACTACAAACACTGCTGAAGGAAAGGAGAAAACCTCAACTAGCAGAAAGATATCCCATGTTCATGGATTGAGATTTAGCTCCAGGAAGGAAATCTTAGCCAAACCGTCCTGTAGACTGGGTGTGACCCCTGGTGAAATTCCAACGACCTCCTTTTCAGAATGAAAGTGTGATGCTCACATTCATGCGGAATTGCTGGGACCCTGAAGATCCAAAGCAATGTTGTAAAAGGAACACAAAGCTGGAGTGTGCACACTTCCCAGTTCCAAAGAGAACGCTGATGTCACGATTTGGGGGACAGTGAGCACCAGCCCCAGAACAAGCTCACAAGGTCAGAGGAGAGAACTGACATCCGGAACCAAGCCAGGAGCCTTCAGCATCAACAGAGAAAGCAGCAACCTCCTCCACACATGGTGCTGAGACCGCTGAAGACCGCAAACAAAAGACGACATTGGATGCCGTACTGAGGGGTACTCCAGGTTCAAAATTTAATTCAAAATAGATCAAGAGCCTAGACATAGGAGCACTTACTGCTCCTACACAGGATCTGAGTTAGATTCCAGGGGACCCAAGGCAGTCCTCTGGTCTCCACCAGCATCAGAATGCACATGGTACGCACACATACACTCAGGCACACACATAGAAACACAACCTAAATAAATCCTTCTTAAAAGTTACTGAATACTGTGTGAATTTCATTGATAAAGAAAAACAAACCACTGGGTGGTGGTGGCACATGCCTTTAATCCCAGCACTCGGGAGGCAGAGGCAGGCGGATCTCTATGAGTTCAAGGCCAGCCTGGTCTACAGAGCGAGTTCCAGGACAGCCAAGGCTATACAGAGAAACCCTGTCTTGAAAACAACAACAACAAAAAAAATAAAAACTAAATAAGAGAAAGAAAGAAAGAGAGAGACAGACCAACCCCACAACACTTCTACACATTAGAGCTTTACCATTTTTGATAAATTTTGAAGTTATATTAAAATTGTCAGGAAAAGAAAGAGCTGCCTGCATCTTTAAATACAATTTCAATGGCTGTACACATTCAATCCTGCTAGCATTCAGCTATCATTCTGTAGCACATCACTTTCCAACAGTCTTTCTCTGCAGTAGTGGCTCTCAAGACTGAAGAGGACAGAATTACAATGTCTTCCTTCGGGGTGGCAGGGAGCCACTTCAAGCGTAACTGTAAAACATTATGTTCCGAAAAGAATTTCAGATTCCTCCCTAAGATGTGTGAAAAGATTCTTTGGAATCTTCTCATATGATAATTAGACGCTGTTTAATGTTTGTTCTCGCCAATCTCACGGAGGGGTCCCTCCCACCTTCTGCCACGGTTGCCCCAAACTCTCCAAATTTATTATTCCTGTGTTTACCATGAAGGGGAAAATGCCAGGAAGCTGACCATTGTCTGTACCTTAAAGTTAATTAAATATCATAACTTTTATGTTCAAAGCTTCTCTCTCCCAAGCGAAGCAGTTTGCTCAGGTCCTTCAAGGGCTCTGGTTCTTCTGAACTTTCCCTAGCCAGCAGTGTTCTGGAACCATAATCCTTTGAGGTTAGTGAGCGCCGTCCTTGAGCTAGTCCCACAAGAGGCCACCGCCATTTAGAGAGACACAGAGTTAAAGTGTGAGAATCTGTCTAGAGAATCTCCAGAGATTTTTCTGGCGTCGATCCTTTCTACCCATGCTCTTCTTGTGCTCGGAGCTGGGAGGACTTGAGCCACAGACTGCAGAGAGATAAACGGTGCGTGCTGCCCAGAGGAATGTTACTACGAGAAACCAGAATCCCCACTCGGCGCAGACAACGTAAGCAGGGTCCCTTTCTCTGAAGTGAAAATCCAAGAGAGACAGAACACTATTCCAGCATTTAAGGTCTAATTGCAGTGGAGCCTCTCAACACTTTCTACTCACAAAGAGAGATCAACCCGCTAGGTTTATTAGCTTTTTTCTAACTATGAAATAAATGGTGATTTCCAACTTCACCAAAATTGGAGATAGTAACCCTATCAGCACGCATCACTGTGAGAAAACCCAGGTAGGAATTTCTCCTACTAACACAGGAGAGGTTGGGGGTTGGGGTCTCTGCTGAGGCAGAGGAGAAAGGAGAAAAGTAGGGTCAGATTTAAATACAGCTACAAATTCCTATGAAGTGAATCTCTGTGTGAGGTTTTAAAAGTACACTTCATTAGGCACTCTATTTACAATTTTTTTTTTTGAAAAGTACACAAAATAAGCAATAGCTCACAGAACAAGAGAAGGGGCAAACAAGGAGAACTCACGGCCAAGCCTCAGGCTATTTTAACTCGGAACCAGAGAGGAAGGAGCCAGGATGTGCTGGCTGGCTCCATCTCTCAGTTTTTAACACTTCCCCCAAGGGGCTCCCACAAACCTCAGAAGCACACACCTAGTTAGAGCTAGCCACACCCACTTATTTTTGGAAGGCTCCGATGCCTCCGTGTCGCATGTTTCTGCCCATGTGGTCAGGGGATTTGCAGGAACTCACACTATATCACGGCTACGTGGCCCTGGGATCAGGCCCCAAGAGCTGTCACTGATACCCATGCAGTGTTACACCTGACATGGAGCTGTGTCTGGGGTTTTCACAATAAAATAGCTCCTCTCTGGGTCATTAATCTAAAGGGGGCTGATAATGGAAGAGAATGGGTAATAAGCCAATACCCTGTCAGCTGACCAGGGCAGAGGATGGGAAAGGATTTCCATGAAGCTGAGAACATGACTCTTCATAGTCTCCTAACTATGCCAGTCTCGGTTTTCCAAATGAAAGAAAACTTAGAGACTAGAGAATGTCAGAAGCAATTTAAAAAACTAATTTTGAAATCCTATCTTTTTTTTTTCTTCAACAAGTGTATTTTTATCACAGACCTGCCCCCACCTCAGACACCTTGAGCATGAAGCGCTGGACAGGAACACAAATGTAATACACACTGCACTTCCCATCCCTCTGCTCGGTGGGTGGGGAAACTGAAATTCCAAACGCCATCGTTGTTCCAATGCACAGATTGAGTCAATGAGCAGACCATGCTTGTCACCTTTGCGGCTCACCGTGGTCCCCAGTCAGTGTCAAATTCCAATCCAAAGTACATCTTGTCCTGGAAAAAAAAAAAAATTTCCATTAACCAGACATTCAAGGATGGAGGGAAGATGATCTTTGGGTTAAATAACAAATCAATTTTGTTGACGAAAATGCATCCACTAAAGACCGATTCTATTTCTAGTTTGTGCATGCCTAGGAGCCTCATGTGACTATAAAAGCTTGATCATTGTTTACCAGTGTATGACAAGATCAAGATACAAACGGTCTGCATTTTCTTAACTTTAAAGTATAATGTTATGAAATGTGGACAATATTGGTAGTGATTAAGATAAAATTAGTACTGTTTGGGTATGATAACCAGGAACTGAAAAGGACACAAACCACCTTCCATCGGCCCTGTTCGTTCCCTGCATGCGCTGGAGAAACCCCACAAACAAGAACCCCCTTGCAATTAAAGGTTTGTTGAGGGTCATAGATGACAAGAAAGTTTTCCATCTTGAGACTTGGGGGTCTAAATAGAGTTCCAATTGGAAATGAAAATCACGTGTGAGCCAAGTTGCATCTACACAAAGGACCATAGCCTCACTCACAGCTCAGACCCACAACCACAGAAGCAGTAGAACACGGCACATGCATGAATATGCATCACCTTTTGGGGTAGTAATGCCCACTGGTGAGCACGTAGGAGGCATGTGCATCATGGTGAGTGACACGGGCAATATGATCATAAAATCAGTGCACACATTCAGCGTAAGACTGTGCCAGGGCCTCACCAGCAGGGGCCCAGACTGGGAAAGGCCACTGAGCACAAATCCAGGTGACTAATGTCTACCTGTCTGATTTGACTTCAAGGAGAACATGGATCTGAGTCCAGCTTGCCTGGAGTTCTGGCAGGTATGTTCTCCACTGTGGAAGAGCAGCCACAGTGAACTTGTCCCGCTAGGTGAGCGCTCAGGCTAATCAGAAACCCACTGTTCCAGTCTGGCCTCACAGTCCTCATCATGAGGGGAAATGATCAACGCAAGAGAGAAACGAGTTGAAATCACTGACACTGATGCATGAAATCAATCTCTGGGGATGCCAGTTCGTTTCTTCTTAGCTATCTGCATTTTTAAATTTGCAAAAATAAAGTATTTGCACAAATACAACCAAGCCAGTAAGATGCAGAGTGACCCAGGGTCATTTACTAACCACAAAACGGCCTTCTAAATGTCAATCAAGCAAGCATGGCCTTCTCCATGTCTTTCTTGACTGGAGCCTGCCCTGGACAGTGGGACCATCTACCAGTGTGTAGAATGGCACAGATTTTCAAATATCTCCCAGAGGTTCAGCGCCATACTGCCTGGGTAAGGGCCTGTGAAGATTCACATTTGCTAGATGATGTCTTCCATCTCTAGAAGCTGCTCTACAAGTTTAATCAACATGGTCTGTTTTCTTTGGAGGTCATCATCCTGCAGAAAGGACAAAGGCCTATGGCTCCATTCCACACTCATCTACACATTGCTTCAGGCTTCTCTGTGTTCTTCTCTGCTCTCATACAGTTTTGCAGCTTCTTCCAGAAATGGGTGGTTACCCTTGACTCAACAATGTGCCTTACTGTGTGCTAGGGAAAGTTAGATTTAAAAGATGAATTTTGGGATTACCCTGTACATAGAGATACTTGAACATGGAAGCAAAGAACACCAGAACCCATGGGATACAAAGACAATAGTCTAAAAGGGAAGATTTCAGCCCCAACATTAAAAAATTGAGAGAGTTCAAATAAATAAATTAACGATGCACCTTAGGGGTCCAGAAAAACAAAAACAAGCCAAACTCAAAATCAGTAAACAAAAAGAAATAAGAACACGGAAGAAATTAGTAAAGTGGAAATAAGAAAAACAATACAAAGAGTCAGTGAAAGAGAGTTGGATCTTTGCATATATTGCATATATATATATTTAAACACACACAGAGACACTTAACGAAACTAACCAAAAGAAAGAAAAGACTCAAATTAATAAAATTAGCGGTGGAAAAAAGTCATTTCAATTGATAACAGTAAAATTCAGAAAATCACTGTAAAAACGAAAATCCATTACATTGGAAAATCTAGAAGAAATGGATAAATCTCTAGATGCATGCAGTCTACCAAAGTTAAGCTGAGATGAGGTAAATATTTAGGCAGATCTATAATAAATAGTGAGATTGATTTGGTAATGAAAATATTCTCCAGACCAAAAAATGCTCAGTCCCAGATGGATTCACTGGTGAATTCTACCAGACTTCCAAAAAAGAATACCAATGCTTCCCAAACTAGCTCATTAAAAAGGAAAGAAAGGAATACTACTAAATTCTTTCACAAAACCAGCATTATGCTTATATCAAAACCAAATAAGGATAAAACAAGGGAAAAAAATGGACCAGTGTCCCTTGATGAATGTAGACGCAAAAATTTCCAACAAAATATTGACCAACCAAATTTAAGAAAATTTCAAAAAAAATTCATCACAATCCAATGGGCTTCATTCCAGGGAGGCAAGGATAGCTCAACATAAAAGAAATCAATAAACATACACATAAATGTGCTTAAGGATAGAAATTACGTGGTCATCTCCACAGGAGCAGGACAATTTCCAACATCCTTTGAGGATAAAAATCCTGAAGGAACTCAGGACAGAAGAAACATCATTTATTAGAATAAAGTCAATATACTACACACCTATAGCTAGCATTATATTTAATGAAGGTAAAATGCAGTGTTTCCCCTGGACCTGGGACTCAGGCAAGGGTGCCCACTTTCTCCACTCTCACTCAGTACAGCCTTCAAAGACTCAGCTAGAGCAGGAAGACAAGAAAAACAAACACGTCAGAGGGTAAAATGGGAAAGGAAGACATCAAATCTTCCTCGTTTGTTAGTGTTAATTGTCTATTAAATAATCATTGTATAAGCAATTATTTAAAGGTCATGTAGCACATTTAATTTCCTATGTTTCTGAGTAGGAATGTGCAGAACTGCATGTCTGAACTTTAGGCATCATACACAGAGTACAAGGTGTGTAAGTGTACATGCCACATGGCCAGTCTGTGCTCTCTTTCATACAAAATGTCATGATCATCAATGAAACTCTGACATTTCTGCTATTTTTAACTCATAGCATTGACAGGGGAGACCTGCCAGTTGGACAGTCCTGCTGTGTGGAGCCCTCCCTGGTCTAGCTCGGTCTTCCTTGAAGAAATGAGCAGCTTCTTACTGTGCACAAGACGTACTGGGACTTCAGCAAACAGGTGTGTATGTGGTCTGCAGTACTCGGGACTGCAAAACGTCTAACAGTGTTGTAGCCCTGCTGACCTTTTTTATGCTTCAGAAATGGGTGAATTAATAAATAAGAGATTTCTGTGTGATGGTGCAAATTGGCACTGGCTCCTTTACACTAATGCAGTTATGGTCCCGTTGTAATATATAAGCCTTAGACGATGCAAAGCAGAGAGTATTTTAGCAAGTTAGTGTCCTCCAAACTCAACTGTCAATGATACTATCTGAGACAGTACAAAATACAAGGCTATTATGGGGAGAGTGAAGGGACCCCCCTCTGAAGTCCAGATGAAGCCTCTCACCAGCTGAAGAGCGAACACTTCTAGTACAATTCACATTTGCTGTGAATGTTACTGACATGGGGATTTTGTTTACTCATACAATATTTTTATCGTTTCTTTTGGGAATTTCATAGAACATGTTTTCATCTTATTCCCCCTCCACTCTGCCCTATAACTCTTCCCAGAGCCACCCCCACCTTCCAACCTTCTCTCTCTCTCTCTCTCTCTCTCTCTCTCTCTCTCTCTCTCTCTCTCTATTAAAATGACCAACTGAGATCAGGGGTGGTGGTGGTGGGGTCATCTACTAGACTAGGACTGACCTTCTGGGATCTACACCTTTAACACAAGCTGACTCTCTTTCCATCAGAAGTTATTACCATCAATAGCTCCTTCATCAGGAGAGAAGGCTCATGAGCCCCTCCACACTCCATGCTTGAATGTGGACTGGCTTGATCTTGTACAAGTCTTGTGTGAGGGCAACCACAGCTGCTGTTAATCCATGAGAACAGAAGTCCAGTCATGTCTAGGAGACATTATTTCACTCCAGTTCTCCCCAACCTGGGATTCTTAAAAATCATTCCTCCCCTCTTCCAAATGGTCCCTGAGCCTTGAGTGTGGCAGTGATTACAGAGGTTCCATTTGTGCCTGAGCATTCTAGTGACGCTTATTCTCTGCACTTTGACCAGTGTTGCTTTTCTGCATTAACCGCCATCCACTGTATGTATGTATGTATGTATGTATGTATGTATGTATGTATCCGAAAGATGTATTTTGGATAAGGTCTGAGAGCTGCACCAATCTATGGGTATAGAAATATGAATTTAGAAGGTAGTCTTATACTATGTCTGTAGCTGGAGTTTTCTCTAGTCCTGTCCAGCCCCACGGACCCCACAACCGCTTATAAAATAATCACTCAGAAGCTCATATTAATTAAACTGCTCAGCCATTAGCTCAGGCCTACCACTGTCTAGCTCTTACACTTAAACTCAGCCCATTTCTATTCATCTATACCTTGCCACATGGCTCATGGCTTACTGGTAACTTATATCTTGCTATTCATCAAGGCGGCTGGCAGCATCTCCTGACTCAGCCTTCTTCTACCCAGCATTCTCCTCTCTCTTTGTCCCGCCTACACTATCCTTCCTGCCTGGCTACTGGCCAATCAGCGTTTTTATTTATCAATCAATCATAGCAACATATATTTACAGCATACAGGACATCCCACATCATATGCCCATTTAACAGAACAACAGTGAACTCCCCAACCATGTGTTCTTGGCCTGGTGTCTTTCTTTATAACTGTTGCTGCCTTTTAAGCAATGGCCGTCCTAATCAGCAACTGTAACTCTGCTGCTACCAGCAGTAGTTCGGGCCCAAGGTGTGCAGCCTGGGGGGATTCTGTTCCCGCAAGCACCGACTCTTTCAACGCTAAGAAGGGAACTTATCTAAATCTCTGTCCCTCTAAAGAACTCAAGATTC